CAAAGATGGCGGCTAAGTTATCTTTCCAGTTCCCTTAAGCCCCGTTTACACTACGCTCAATTTTTGGTACCGTACCACTTTTTTGGTTCTTAAAAGAACCACCGTACCAATACGAGTACCGATTTTATCCGTGCCGTACCAAAAATTGAGCGTAGTGTAAACGGGGCTTTAGAGTTCACTGGTTTAAACTGAACGTGAGCGCCTTATTAAAACACCCTGTGTTTGGAAACTTTTGCTCTGTTGTACGTGTAGTCTAAAAATGTGTATATATGCTACACCACTATCAGTTTCTGAATAAATTCAATGGTGTTCTGCAAACCTAAACCATAACCGTGCAAACCGCGCTCAATATGTTCATAGTTTTCCACAGTTTGGTGAGGCAATAGCCGAGACAGACTGTAGAGTTTTGAGTAGCACTTAATTGTGCATGTTATAATAATTTTTGTCCATTTGGTGACCCAAAAACGTTGCGCTGGTGTGTACGTATTTTCAGCACGTCATAATAAGACATGTTCAGGCTGTCCAATATCTGTCAATTTAACATTTGATAGAATTTTCGAGATTTTTTATGTGAAGTCAATGGTTTTACTTAGTAAAAATGGTCCTCATGTTGTTACACTTTCATAAAAAAATGTCTTTTTTTTCTTTAAAATTCCCCACCGGCGCTTAGCATCTGGGAAATTACTCAAATTACCCGCTCTTTTTTTTAATTACCCGCTCCTTTTACCCGCGACCCGCTCCCCGCTCCAATTAGATGCTCCCTATCTACGATATTTCGTAGCTTTCTCGCACACGTACAAATATAATTTATAGTTTCGACAGCGCTGCTGTCACAGCGGTCAACCGTGATGTATTAAATGTTATTAAAGTTTCGAGCGATGCAGAGAAGAGAATATTAAAGGTGTCTAAAGCCATCACTTCACTTCAGAGAGAGCAAGTCCTGTTCATAAGGCATAATTTATGTATTTACAGCAATTCTCTCCTGGCACAAAATTATTAGCTACAAAATCATGAAGAAAGAATCTATTTGTCGTCGATGAATTGATGAAAACGAACACGCTTGTGAAAGAGGCGCTGCTAACAGACAGCAATCCAACGAAGACACCACAGTCAATATCTCCAGAGCTTCGTGAACCAAGTTCGTAAATACCTTTATTGTTGAACCGTAAATATTAATCGTGGCTTTAAGCTCTTTTGAATGCAAAAATCAAAGAAACGCCTCTCGATAATACATCCGCCGTATTTGTATGAATTTTAGCATAAATTAGCATATTTTTTTCATTTTGAACCAATCAGATTTCTCGTCTTCTGAGAGAATGAGTAAATACGGCAAAGCAGGGGGTTTCGTGCAGGCTGTCCTTTCTCTGATAGCCGCTACGCAGGCTAACTGACAACTGATAAAATATCTTAACTGACAACTGAGAAATGATGGAAAAAATGCTGAGTCAGCATTTTGCGGTAACTGACTACTGACAGCTTGCAATACAGTATATCGCACAGACAACTGACAACTGGCTTAAATTTTAGCTGACAACTGACACCCAAAGACCCCCATAAGACCCTCAATTAAGACAAACCTGATTGCTAAAGACAATTTGTTATAGATTTTTTGGTAAATTTGTGATTAATGTGTTCATGTTCAGTTTAGGACGCAGAGCTGTTAGAGAATATGTATAACATCCGAGGTTGTATAATGCATATATCCAAACAGAGATAGACCTTCTAAGAACACATCTAACATATTTAGAATGTTTGCTGACTCAAGTGCCCTCCTACTTTCGAGGTGCTTCCGCAGCCTCTGCTTGTATATGCTTCTAAAACGTCCTGCATCTTGCCATAAGTTTGTGTTCAACTGCTCATAACCTACTTCTGTCGCTAGGATAAAAGATTCATGATAAGAATTCTATGACTATATGGATGTTATAATATTATGTTTTGTATTCGTAGCCATCTAAATATCGTTTTATCTGTTGCGGACTTCTTTCCATCCAATTTATATTTGCCACAATGCGTTCAATTGATATATCTACCGCCTTTGTACCTGAACCCTTGTCTCTGCCGTGAAAGAAATCTTTCACCTATTAAATGAAGATCATTTATACAAACCACGAGTTAATTTAAGATAGTTTCAGAGGGAATTGCACGCGCGTACGGTGGTAAGTCGCATTGAGCTGGGGCCCAAGGCATATACGTAAATAGACTTTACTTTTGAATTTATATTTCAGTGGTCCTTCTAGACGATCGATAATTGGAGTAATTCAAAGAACTAAGGTAATAAACAGGCGCAGAAAAGTCATAGCCGTCGCGTTTACACTACGCGGAAGCGAAATTATTTGAAAGCGTCACTTTTGCTGTACAGTACGTTAGGAACGGTTTCCAAACAGAACGAGATGAAATTTATTTTGCTCTACTTTAGTAGTATATTTTAAAAATATTTTGATTCGGGTATTTTTCTCACTATTTGAGCCCGTTTTGCGAAACCGTATCGAAACTCTAACGACTTACATCTTAGTGTGAACAGACCTAAATTTAACGTGGCGTGATTTATTTCGCTCCTGCGACAGTGTGAACGTCGTCTAAATAAAAATCTTTATCACTACCGGTGACTGAGACTGTTTTTGAATTTATGGAGTGCGTCGTGGTGGAAAATCGAAATTTGTGCTTCATTCACACGATTTCAAACTATATTTGGTTTTCCACGAAAAGTCCAAGCCTTAGTACAGTACTAACCTTTTGTAATTCATTTTTGGTGTTCATCATTGACGTTGTCGACGAGATCAGCCTTGCTAATTGGAAACTTGTTTTGCTGTACCTATATGAGAACACATTTTTAATGTGATTTTGGAGTATTCTGAATTTGATTTTATACGAATAATAGCAATTATGTTAGCCGCGCCATTATTTTTTCGGATAAATTATGGCACCTCTCTAATACAGAAACTCCTCTAATACAGGCACCTCTGCACACAGGCACCTGGCATATTCGGGAAATACCGGAAAAAATGTCCGACCACAATGAAATTTGATCGGAAACTTTTAAATTTGGTCGAACATTTTTTCGAGCTCTCGACATCCATTGAGTACATTACGGTCAATATTAAAATAATACTTCATGGAAGACACCATGTGTACAGTATAGTTCAAATTACTTTAAATTCAACAGTATTCTTTGCGGGTTTAGTCTTTGCAATTAACTAGCTTGAAATTTGATTGAGATTATCTGACAGCAAGAAAGAGATCTTCAACAAGACCATATCCCACATGGTGCACATGCATGGTTGGGCAGAAATAATAAATCCAGTCTAGAAAAGTGTAGTTCAGAGAACTGCATTCTGCTCCGAGCTGTAACCCTGAAGATTGAAATCAACTGCGAGGACTAAAAACTCAACTGATCCTGTTGAATTTGAAGTATATCTGAACGATACATCATATTACCAAATTTACCATCAACACTTCAGTCCTAAGTTCTTTGTAGGTTTACATGCAGGCGATATAGAACATATAATACTTTTGTTTTTGGAAACACCACGTAAATTTTAATATTACTGCAAAGCTTTCGATCCGTAAGCCCGGATCTTCATCAGTGCTAATAATATAACTAGTGCTATAGTACTTCAGTCCTGTTACGATATGGATAAAAATTTGTTAATATCCACCCACTGTAATCGTTAACGTTGATTCTGAAAGATCACCACGTGACCAAAATGGCAAACTGATTTCTTCAGTACGAGATAGGTCTAAACTAACTATAATGATAAATGGGCTAGACAAGAAAGTGTTTCGAAAAACACACAAACGATGCGCACACTCCAGGGTGCATGATAAAACATTTACGCCAATTACGAGATATTTAAAATTAAACATAATATTTTGAATTAGTATGCACCTTTCGTAAAACACCTTCCAATTTTGCGTGAGAAACTTCCAAGCAAGACTTTGTCCAATGGGATTTTGAGCAACAGAATTTATAACTGTAACTGTGTTCTGGGAACGAATCTTGCTTTCGTCAATGGAAAAGTTTAACAACCTGTATAGATATAAAAGAACGGTTTTTTAGGTGCCTATTCTTCGTGTATTTGTGACGTCACTATGCACAATACGAGATCCGCTCTGGTTAAAATTAAAATTTTGCCATTTGGTGTTAAGTTAGAGTTCTGTAGTTCAGTTGTTCACTATTCGTGGTCTGTTAAACCTCTAGCTAATTGTAAAGTATAACGGTTTTTGCTTTGATGCGACTTGGATCTTAGGGACCGGTCATTATTTATGGTGGAGGGTGGCACCAAAGAGAAATGTTTTTTGCGGCAAATATTGTGCTGACCCAACCATTAAAAAGCAAAAAAATTGATTACCCAACCTAAAATATCGATTAAAAAATAAATACTCACCCTGGCCAAAAACTTACGGTATTAATGGTACTTACAAACGGATACCATTCAGTTGTCACACATGTCCTTTACCACTTCTGTGACATGAGTTTGATAACTGCTTGTGCAAATTTCTGCAGTCTAAAGTTTCATGTTGTCTGCACATGTACTTTCTTTGGAGACACCATCTGTCTCTCAACATATATCGGAAAATTATCAAGATAGTGACTATGATTGGTTCACATATTATATTGACATCTGACTGTTGACAGTGCTTTTTGGTCTCCAATATTTCAGTGAGTCATGCTTTGGAAATGACAATATTTTTTTGTTACCCAACCCTTGAGTTGTTTTCTTTTTCATTTACCCAACCTTTTACTCACTCAAAATTATATTTACCCAACCCTTTTCTCTTCGGTGCCACCCCCCGCCATAAATAATGACCGGTCCCTTATTTGCCAGTTCTTTGCAGAAAACACGGGCATTTATATATGTAGTGGTCGTAACTGAGCTGTATGCCTAATATGCACATGCAGCGGTATGATGTTCGGGCCATCTCCCAGGGGGCGTCTATGGTATCGAAATTTGTGTCGACCAGTAATATTGTGTCGACCAGTAATCACGTGACTCATGCGTTGAATTGATAAATCGTGTTGTGATAAAAATCGTATAACGTCGAAACGGCTTTGGTTAGAAAACAGAGCAACAAACTGTCTATATATATACGTAATGTTGATGAATATGCAATCAGAACATATAACACACATGCAGTGACTAATTTATTTTAAAAAAACAGGTAATAGTGTCTTGAACATACTTTAGTAAGATTGTAGGTTCCTTTGATGCTGACAGTCCATGCAAAAGTTGACGCCGCTCTGAAGCAACGGTTGAATATTGATGTATCTCAAACAACTTCTGCCATTCCTTGATTCCAGTGTTTGCTATTCCATGATAGTAGATCACTTTTCTTAAGTCAACATCAAGTTCGCTTCCACTACAATGAATGATATTCGTATGAGTGCAGGCCACATATATGAATAAATACTTTTCTATTAATAATTATATATCCCATAGTTGGGGGCCGCGAAACTGAAGGGGCCCTGGGCCCTTTAACAGAAATAAATTGCATGGAATAATTGTAGTTTAGCCTAACAATAATGCCAAATCTTATTAAATTGGATAAAACTTTTAGGTTAGCTCAGTCCCCCACCCCCTTAAACTCGCCCTTAAACCGATAGAAAATATTAACAAAGAGGGCTGCGCCCCACAGAGCCCCCCTTTCCCCTCCCCCACCCCCCTACACCCGTTCCAACAATAGGAAAAATCCCTGCACATATAACTTTTAGATCCACACAACGCTGGTCATATTCAGCAAATTTTCTCCCAGTATTTCCAGCGGACTTGCGGTGAAAAATTGAAAGGTTTGTATTTTATACAAAGCTGGCAATTTTGTGTAAGATGTCAGCTGATAATACGAGCCCGCACGAGGGTGAGAAAATGCTCTAAATTTGATCAACGGTCACGCACCACATCCACCCCTGTCCCTCCCCCCTCCCAGCGCCCCCACCAAGAACGACCCTGAGTATGATGGTTGAGTCAACAATTTGGTTGACGAGTTGACAAATTTAAATGTCGTTTGTCCGAGTCGACAGCATGTTTTCCAAGCCGATAATTATAAATGTTGAGTCGTAACTAGTCAGTGGTAGATTTAGGGGGGGGGACTGCGCACCCCCCCCCCCAGGCTCTGGTCAACAGGGGTGCATGGGGGGTGCAAAAATGACGTTTATCCTAATTCTAACCAACTTATGTTAACCAATTCAGTTGCGTATCACTAGTTGACAATAGCGGAATAGCCAATATTAAATATTCTGAATTTTTAAATGTTTTGAGAACCTAAAAATTTTCCAGAATGTTTTCTCAGAATGCTGGAAATGCCATTTCAGAGACCCAAATTTTAAAAATTTTCCGGGGGAGTACGCCCCCGGACCACCCTAGAAATCTCGCGCCTTCGGCGCTCGATCCACCACTGTAACTAGTTAATTCAGTGTAGAGTCAGTTTGGTCACTTGGTGTTAGGGTAAGTAAGGACGAATCAACTATTGGGGATTCGTAATTCAAAATTATTGTACTATTATATATCAATATGTTATTATATGCATGGTGAGCACCAAAGTAAACCAGTCAGATGTAAACGCTTATGCAACCTCGTCCCCAGGGTCATCTTTTATAGCGCACCACTGTGAGGTTTATTTTTATGAAGATCTCGGTTTGAATAATTTCCGCACCCTTCAAAAAACTTCATGAATGGCATAACTCGATCTATGCGGGAATATAGGTACACACACAGTGCAGTTTTATGTGTCTCATCATCTTAAAACGTTTGTCTTGAGCTCAGCTGTTGGAATTTGACGGACTATATATACACTCCGCGGTATACGATGCGTCATGCATGTATCCGTGATGATTGTGTCAGCCTGTTCAGACTTTAACTCGCCGTGAAATAGATCGTAAAATTGTAAATTTTACTATGTATTTACTTTTTTTATATAGAAAACACTTCAATAATGGATAATGCATGAGTAAGGGGGAAATGAGGTGGAGGACCAAAATGAACGTGAAATATTTTACGGTCACTCTTCGCATGTCATTTAGAGCATGTATTTCCGCCGATTGCTCGTGGAATCAGGCTTTAAAGCTGGGTGTTTTATTCATTTTAGAATGTGGATCTATTATTCCAAATATTCCGTATTTATTTTATATACCTGTTTAGATATTCTGTGAATAATTTCTTTGCCTTTACAATCGACTTTTCATGACCGAAGGAACAAGCAGCATTTAAAATCATTGTGCGCATGTTACTACAAAGACATAAATCAAAAGACCATTAATATTAATATTAATATTATGATTATTGTAACTACAGAAACACCGGGTCCTAGAAGGTGAAAGTAAAATAAAATTTTTCGAAGGTATATAGTCAGGAATGCTAGACGTGTCACATTTTCTCAATGGGTAACAGCCAGGATTTCTCAATTATACGAAATACAGAGGATACTCTTAACAACTTTTTATATCAACTTCGCGCTTCTCATGTGCCCGAACGCATTAGAAACAATAGATAAGGGACGGACCATTAGAAAAGTGAGGGGGGGGGGGG